TTGACATGGTCGGAGCAGCCCACCGTCAAGCAAATGGGCAGAATAATATTAAATTCTTCTTATTTTCCCTTTTTTGGCAAGTACGTTTGTTTGTCACAACTCAAATAGCACCATTCGTGATTAGACGTCTGTGATTGGTCTATCGGTTGCGCTGGTGGTCAATTGTATTCTTAGACAGCAGGTTTTGAAGGACGTTCTGTGGACTATAAAATCGTAATTTCATCTCCTTGAAATCTATGGAAAGGGGATTTGCGTTTATAAGGATTTAACCACTGCTGAAACGAATCCACGGCTTTTCTTTCTGGTACTCGATAATTTTCTATTACTTTTTGTTCAGGAGTTGAGAAGATACGAAATAATTTCCGAACGCTGGCTAGCGACATAGAACATTCGAGATGGCAAGTTTATCGTACGAATTCGACAAAAACACAGAAAACTGGCAGACAACTAAACGAACTATCCGAGAACGTTGCCAATACATGTTCAAAAATGAATTTCTAAGTGATATTACTTTTGTCGTTGGAAGAACAGGGCGGAAAAAGAGAGTTAAAGCACACAAGTTCTTGTTGGCCATAAGCAGTCCAGTTCTAAACGCCATGTTCTATGGCTCAATTGCGGAGCAAGGGACTGAAATCGAGTTGTCCGACTGCGACTTCGAAACATTCTTAGAACTCTTAAGTTATATCTATTATGACAAGGTTGTTATCAACGAATCCAACGTTCTTGGAATTCTTTACCTAGCAAAGAAATACATTTTGCCATTTTTGGCTGAAAAGTGTGTTGAGTTTCTGGACCGGAACATTGACAGTCAAAACGTCTTTACGCTTCTTTCACAAGCACGACATTACTGTGAACCAAAGCTTGAAGAAAGATGTTGGGAAATTATTGAGCGTGAAACTGCCCAAGCTATCTCATCCGAAGACTTCTTGGATATAGACCACAACACTCTTGTTGCTTTACTGTCCAGGGAAACGCTGACTGTTGAGGAGGTTGATCTGTTTAGGTCGATTAGTAGATGGGCTGAGGAGGAATGCAAGAGGTGTTGTCTTCCGCTTCTTCCAGATAATCTTAGAAACGTGCTTTCTATTGCGTTGAATCTCATTCGCTTTCCAGTTATGACTTTACAGGAATTTACAGAAGATGCTGCAGTCTCTGGCATGCTTAGCCAAGAAGAAACAATCAGTGTGTTTTTATATCACGGCTCTAAGGGCAAAACAAAGGTAGAAAAATTCTCCACTACACCGAGGAATGGAACCCATCGTGTTTACAGGTGCAGAAGGTTTCAGTCACACTCTACAGATTGGGACTGCGACGGAACTAACCTCGATAGCATACGATTCTCAGTAGATCGGGAAATATGTGTTATTGGAGTCGGTTTGTACGGAGTCTCTCATGCAGAGGGCAACAAAGAACCTTTTAAAGTAGATGTAGAACTCTTAGACTCTCACAATGACTCACTTTGTAGCTTCGAAGGGACGTACGTTCTGGACAAATCAGTTCAAATCCATGATATTATGTTTGAAAAACCGGCAATCGTCAWTGCCAAAGAGTCGTGCGTCATAAGAGCGTTGATTAAGGGTCCACCATGCCTGGGAGGGAATGATGGAATGAGGAATGTGCTGTGCGAAAGATCAGGAGTGCGTTTCTTGTTTGATGTAGACGAGGCAAGTTTTAACGGAACTACGACATCTGATGGTCAAATTCCTGAAATAATTTTCAAACTACCATGAAGTGGTATTAAGTGGCTTCTTAGCTTGGGCGCAGCGTTATGCTTTCCCATTTTAAACGATGTTTCATTTTCTTGAGAATCCAAAGGTTTCTTTGTTAAGTTATTTACATATTCATGTGACTGTCTTCACATGCGCAACCGTTAAGTGTAAAGAAATGAAGATGATACCAATGCGGCATGAGTTCGAGTCCTGCCGATCTCGATGTCGTATGTGAGTAGAGTTGTTTGCTGGTTCTCTCCTGTGGTTCGAGGGTTTTCCTCCGGGATCTCCGGCTTTCTTAATTCCTCAAAAATCAACTTCTAAATCCTAATTCGATCTTTGGGCTTTAACCTAGTTTGGAGCCTAGCTCTGTTGTGATTGTCCGACGCTGTGATACAACAGGGAAAAGCTTTGTAGATTCAATTGAGCCCAACCTAATTGAAAGAATGGATGACTCATGTGTAGTTCGATGTTTGACATGGTCCTTAGCTAGTTGTTTGAAATTGAAAAGTATGAGGCTCTATTTTTTGCATGAGAGAAGAGAGCTGTATATTCAAGCTTCCKGTTATAAACCGATTAATTTGGAAACGCTTTCGTTTTATGAGAATCAACTTTAAACCCTATCAAACGCTTCATGCCATAGAGTCGCAAAATTTCACGGGCATTTCACATTTCACGGGCATATCAAAAACACAATCCTTTATGCGAAACTTTAATAGTCGCATGTATAGAATGTAGTTCTTGTTTTTTTCCCGTTTTTTTTTTTTCGTGAAATTAAACAAACCGTTTCTTGTCAAAGATATATTTATTAACCAATCAGAAACGTTATTGTTATCTCTCCGTTATCTTATGGTTAGAAAGTCATTTCTGATTGGCCACAATATAACATTCCTGGAATATTTCTAAGTGTGAACACGGTTATTCCATTTGGCAAGATGCAAGGGTGTCTTGCACTAACGACGTCGTTATACAAAAGTTCGAGCTTTGTAAAAGCGTTACCTTGACCAGGACCGTATGCATACAGAGCTGTTGGGAAAAGACATGTTTTTTTCTTTTTTTTTTTTTTTTGTTTTGTTTTTGATCGTTATTTAATCCTAAAAATTACATAACATAACAAAAAGTCGCTCGAATAGACTCCCTGTATTATCTGATAAATGTTTAATAGCTCCTGCAGGAACAGCACATGGTAACGATGTGTTAAAGACATGCCAAAAGCATATGACTGGGAAAATGGCCAAGAGCCATGAATTCATTGTAAAGAGACGTCTTTTAGGGACCGTTCATTATTCAGGGGGGTGGAGGAGAAAATGGGGGGGCTCTCATTTCTTTTTTAGTGGAACAAGAGGGGCCTTCAAAGTTCAAAAGGAGGATTGGGAGGATTAGGAGGATTTTTTAAACGATTGA